GAGCTGTGCGATATGACGACGTGTATCGGATGATGAAGTTAAAACATCTCTCGTTTCACATTACACACCATCATTTGTTTCGTGGTGTCACAAAATCCACTGTTTACTCAATATTTTTCACGGTTTGGATGGTCACCACGGCACAGAGAATCCCAGTATGACCAGTGAAGATGAGGCAGAACCAGGTAGCTCCAAACAGAAGGACCAGTCAAAGTCTGACACGCCCAGAAAACTGTACGATGCAAACGATGCAGCGGTTCCACCTCAGACTCGCACGACCTCTGCTGCCACCGACGCCAGAGTCACGTGACAGAGTGTGGAGAGAGTTCACGGGCGAGACGCAAACAGCCGTCAGCTGCTCCAGATGCACCTTAGACTCGAACGTTAGAACAGGCTTTTCCCCGCAGCACGCCACGTGATAATACAAAGAAAACGGCGGCCGTTCCAACATATTTGTAAAAAAGTCTAGTTTCATGCATCGGTCGAAACACTCGACTCCACGACGCCCAGCTGGAAACACGTCACGCAGGTCGAGCTGATCGAGATTCACTGAATTTACAGAAAATGTAAGTTTTGTGATGTTGTTGTCGGGACGATAGATGTGCGTCGGGATGTAAGAGTTCAGTCGTATCGCACAGCTCCAGCACAAACACATCGTCACATTATTCACTGAGCTGCTCCTCGGCTGAACGCTCTGCTGGCTCTGCTGCTGTCCAGCAGAGGGCGCTGTAAGCTCTCAGCTCCTTCATCATGGCTGCAGTTTAACATCAGCGTGTTTCTCTTCCAGCTGATCGTCTCATGGCGTCTCTCACACTGGTGGACAGGAGAATCATTCTGATTGGTCTGTCTGGAGGAGGGCGGAGCTCAGCAGGAAACACCATCCTGGGATCGGAGCGGTTCCCGACAGGATGTGGGTTTGAACCGGTCCCAGCTGAGGTGGTCTCTGGGTCAGCAGCAGTGGAGGACTGTTGGATCACCGTGGTCGACACTCCAGGATTCACAGCCAGAGACTCGGATGAAGATCAGCTGGCAAAACGACTCAGGATGATTATAAAACAGTCTGATCCAGGACCTCACGCCGTGGTGTTCGTGGTCAGGATAGGCAGGATGTCCAGGGAAGACTCTGCGCTCCTCGCCGCTCTCAGAAAGATGTTTTCTGTTTGTTCTGGTAACTACTCCATGGTGCTCTTCACCCACGGAGACGAGCTGAGAGGTCGGTCCATCGATCAGATGATCCAGTCTAACAGCTGTGTGTCTGAACTGGTCTCCATGAGTCCTGGCAGATTCTGTGTGTTTGACAATAATCAGAAAGGAAACAGAAAGCAGGTCAGAGAGTTCCTCCGTCATGTAGAGAACATCATCTCAGAGAACAGAGGAGAACACGTGGACCTAGATGTACGGTCTACGGGAATAAACTGGCTGAGTGAGGAAAGGGAGGAAATGGAGAGAAGGCACATGCGCATGCACACGTGGATGGACTTGGACATGTGCATGATGCCCAGAACGACTGTACAGATCTGCTGTGGGTGTTTTTGCAGCACAACCAGCCGCCTGGACAAACTCTTCAAAGAGCTGAATGTCTGACTGTGATTGGTGGATGTTGGAGGCGTCTGAGGAAATAAAAACCTGATGGACTTTGTCTGCTTCCTGTTCAGGATCAGCAGTTTTCTGAAACATGATTGGCCCTCTGTACTGTAACTTTTACTCCAGTCCAGTTTCACAGTACTTGTACTTTGTGTAAAACAAACATACTTCAAACACTTTCCATCTGGATTGTTTGCATTGAGATCAGCTGACACATTAAAGTACAGAGACATGAATGAATCAACACGGTTATTGCCATGGTAACAGGTGTGTATCAGGCTCACATCAGTGATT